TCAAGTACATCTAGTCGTAAAACTGATCCAAGAACCCCAATTCCGACAACGGCGGCCACTTCACTTACCTTAACGAAGTGATCACCAGCTGAATGACTCCTAGACGTAAGTAAAACTTATCAGGCATGTTCCGGTTTTTACATATTATTCTTTTAGAACATTAAGTTCGAGATAAAAATTAGTTAAAATTGACAATTCTATTATCCATATTGACTAGATTGTTAACCAAAGGTGTGCAATACAGGGGAATCGAAAATTTTTATCCAATTAATGCAATCCCAGCTGAACTATGCTAGTTATAAAATAAAAAGTCTTTATTTGCCTAACTAGACTATATATTTTAGGTAGAAAATTAAGAAACCCTTTTATTTAAAATGACACAAAAGTGATTTGAAATCGAACAAATCTTTCAATCTGTGAAAACCAGAACATGCCCATATGTATATACACTATTTTGACCTAAGTTTGGCCATTGATAAGCCAATGGAGATTACTCAGCTTGCTTTTGTCTGATCATTAATTATTTCGCATGGCTTTATGACTACCAGCCATTTTCTAAACTACGCTTTTGAAATCCTACAAAAGTAGTATTCGAAAACTAGCTGAATATTTGGAGCAGATACCAAAACAAATTCAGAGACTTTTTAGTGTGTTTGCTTAATTAGAATAAGTTGTGTAACGATTTTGACTTTGTATATAGTGCTTAATAAACGAAACTATATCGCTAAGTATAAAAAGAGGTGTTTCTTCATGATTATTTCATATATTTTCTTCATTTACACAAAAAGGTGACAGCTTACATGCGCATGATGTGTAAGTGGGTATTAGTATAAATTATGGGTAATGCTGATTAGTGGATACAGATTAAGGACACGCACACATGTGGTTTGCCGGTTAGAGGTTAGCAAAGGTAAATCTTACTGATCTAACCGACCCGGAAGATACGCAATATCATATCTTCTAGCTACCACACGCTCTTAATTTTAAGATAGTATCTACCAGATACTAGATACATTTGCAAAAGCTACAGCTACGAGGACTACTTTGGATACAATGGTATATAAAGGGTGGATCCTTCGGTTGCGAGTGGACGAGTTGAGACCAGGCGACAGCTTCCCGCTTTGCGTCCCGCTTGTATCACAATTCAAAACAAGGACAGGGCGGGGAAGGATGCGAGGGGAACTTAAAGTACTCGTATTATTTATACAACTTAGTCCGAAGTTTACACTAGAAATCAAATGAACTTTAATTTGGAATCGCTGATAGGTGATTAGTGCTCCTGCAGACTGAGCTTCAGCGCCTGCTCGATCATCTCCTGCTCCTGCTGCCGCTCCAGTTCGAACTTCCTCTGCTCCTGTTGCGACAATCGCATGGCCATGGCTAGATCCGGATCGACATACCGGAATCCTCCATCGTCGTCGTCCTCGGAGGCGGGCGAGCCGCTTTGGGGGTTCGCATGGGCTCCCAGCAACGATTCCTGGAGGACTCTGCAATTGATGAGGAAGAGGGCACAAGAACACACAAAGCTTGGATCAAAACTAGCAATACGAAAGGATGGGAGAGGGTTTTTAGCGCTACTTGAATATCTTCTTCATGTAGCCCAAATCGTTTTTGAACTGTGCACCCGCCGAAGAGGATCGCCCACGTGTCTGCGGCTCCAACAGGAGTTGCGAGTGGGAAAAGGATTGGGGATGGTGCTTGGGAGAGGGCGAGTACCGCCCGTACTGTTGGCGGTGGGGAGACAGTAAGTGCGAGGAGAAGCGGTGGCCACTAGCGTTTACCATTGAGAGGTGTTAGTTTTGATCGTTGAACAAAATCTCACACAGTTTCGGCAGCCGAAGCTGTAATTACTCTTGCAGAATATGTTACTCTGTTAACATATATGCCCAACAGCTATAGCAACACGAAACTCTGCGTCCTATAAGCACAGGGACATACCCAAATTCTTGGTGTACAAAACAAAAGTATTCTGCAAGAGCAAAAGTATCATTCGCTGGACTTACCGTTGCAGTTGCTCGTCATCTTCTGGCAGAAGGTCGGATCCTACTACGTTTTGGCCCCTCAACACCTCCCAGATGTCAACCTTGTCGTCGTCCCTGGCGTCCACGCCACAGGCTCCACTTGTTTCCACCAAGCTCTGCTCGATGGCATACTGCAGCATATCATCCTCATCGAGAGGTATCTGTCGGCGGACATCGCTTCCTCTGTTTGTGTAGTGAGCCGGGACATCAAAGCAGCGATCGTCAACCAGGCAAGTAACCCGATCTTGTTCCTGCAGCGTGGCCACGTGCTCCACGGGCGTGGTTAAAGCAAATACATTTCCAAATGTGATGCAGGCATTTAGGACATGGAAGAGCGGTATTTCCACTTTGACGGGAAAACCGGCAGGCAGCTGCATTGTAATAAAGTCCCTCAGCTTGGACACATGTGGACTGGCCATGGTGGACATGAGATCCAGAATGGGAAGCACCTGTTCTTGCAGTCGGATGGGATGCTCCTCGGCCAGCCACAAATTGGCCTTGAAGCGCTGCACCTTTGTGCTCAGGTTCTTGGGACCGCCAACGTCCCTTCCGTGAAGATCCACCTCCGGAGTGAAGTACTCCTCCGGTGTTACAGAAGACTTGGGTGTACTAGTGCCTGATGCGCAGGCGGAGCTGCCGTTGCTCTGATTGCCAGGGGCAGGTGAGACTCGGCCTCCATTTTCTGCTGCGGCGATGGAATCTTCCCCCAAACGGGGCGAGGGTGTCTGGAAAAATATGAAATAAATCAAAAGTGCGAATGTTGAAAAAAACATTTAACATACGCGATCTTTGAGTGCCGCGGCGGCATCAGTGGGGGACACATAGTCCTCATCGGCAATTCCCAGCAAACTATGGAGCGGCGTCCTTGCTGTCTTGTTCTAAAAATATATAAGGGTCAATAAATAAATATATATAAAATTGTTTTATTTTATAGGAAAAATACATATATTAGTAAAGAAACTTCAAGATGAAAAAAAAGTAATGCTAATCGGTTTCAGGAAATATTAAAGTGGCTATTAGCCCATCTGTAAGATAAAGCACACCTGAGTTTTACCAATTAGCAAATGGTCGTGAAGCAAAGGAAACAACTTTCGGCTTTCATATTTTCATATGTAAGTAGCTTTGATGAAAAGGTTTTCGCAATGTATACATAACTTATATTAAACAAACACATTAAGAACATTTACCTTGATCTGCTCCTCGCTCAGGTGATCCATTCGCGTCTTGGTGACGAACTCCACATTGCTGGCTCCGTACACCTTGCAGTTGTAGCCGTTGATCATCTCCGATTTCTCGCTCCGCCAGCCCCAAATGCCGCACTTGTTGCGTTCGAAACTGATCTTATCCATCTCGATGTTGTTGGTGATCACCGGAGCATTGAGACGGGCCCTCACAGTCCCCAAGGCAGGTGGTATGGCCACAATGTCGCCGATGTCGCTACTCATCTCCTCCACCATCACCTCGTTTGTGTCGTGATCGATCTCGATCATCGTGGCAGTTTCTTCTGCAAAAGAAAATAGAGGAACAAGACTGGTTTTTCAAAAACAGTAGACTAATAACTTATAATATTCCTTTGGTTCAAAACGAATTACTAATTTAATTAAACTGAGACAATGAAGAACATACTCGATTTAATACGGAAATGTATGAGATGTAAATTAAAATATCCTTTTATGCATTATTATTTTAGTATTATGGAATTGATAAGGGAAGGGGAAATATTTCGAACACACACTGATTTGAGTTAGAAATAAACCTTATTTTTATATAAACAGCTTACTGAAACTAAATTATAAAAATTAGGAAATCCTATTTAACGAGAACATAGATTTAATAATGTATTTAAATTGTTGGCTGTATCTCCACTTACTAGCTCCCTTAAAGATGTAAGAGCGATTGCCCCGTTGCCAGGTGTTGTTGTCGAAGCCCAGGAGAGTGGTGTCTATCCGGACATTGGCTCCCCGCTTGTAGACCTTATAGGTGTCACTGGGGCAGAGCCGCGACATCAGGGGCACCCATGAGGTGAACTCCCACTTCATCTCGATGTAGAAATCGGGGGCATCCAGGAGGTGCTGCAGCAACTTGGGCACATGCGTCACCCGCTGGACATGACGTTGGAGGTCCCGGACCTCGATGATGGCCGTCAGGATGTCCACATCGCCGGTGCAAACGGCCTCCTGGACAACTGGGGGCGGGGATTAATGGGGTTTCTCTGTGGGATTACTTCGGTAGACTTACTGGACCATCCTTCGTGCTCGTAGGTGGCATTGCACTTGGCCGCCAGGAGGCACTTGACGCACGCCAAATTGGACAATCTCACGGCCAGCATCAGCGGCGTGCGGCCGCGGGGATCGATTTTCTCCTTATCGTTCTGCAAGGTGACGGAATCAGTGGTTTTTATCATCGTGCCATTTCCCCGGACCCTGCTAATTCAATTAGCACCTGTCCCTGGGGCCACACCCCACGCCCCCCACGGAGCACCACCCCCTTTTCACCTGCTCGATGGCCGCCTGCAGCTGCTCCGGATCGTTGTGCCAGATGTGCCAGTGCAGCGGGTACTCCGCCTTGATCTCCTCGACGCTCCTCATCCTGGATCTCGATTTGCGCCGTCTGCTCTGCGGCTAAATGGCGATTTCTTTTGTTTCTGGGCTCCGTGAGAAAAAAACAAACTCTAAGGGCGGAAGTCTGGTCACACTGCGGGCGGTCCATCGATAGAGGAGTAGTGGTGGCAAACGTAAAACGCCGGCAAGCGATATATCGATGGGCGGTTACCAGTTTTCATTCCCAAAGTTAAGAAAAATAATGAAATATGAGGACAATAAATACATAAGTAAAAAACTTTCAACAAAATTGTTGTATCTATGAATAGTTGAACAATTCAAAGCTGAAAATTAAAGATAATTAGTTTTAAAGTCAATGAAGATGGCGCATATACGGTGCGATAATGAGCTCCATCGCTTTTGTCATCTCTATCTGCCATCGATAGTCAATAACAACATTGACAGCTGTTCGGCAGAAAATATTCCAAATCGCGTTAATTGCTCTAAAATCGAGCGAAATAAGGTTTTCCAAGGTATCTTCAGATCCAAAAAGAGGAAAGTTGCTGGCGCGTGAGTGGTAAGCTCCATTTATAAAATGGTGTTATCCCCCCAATAGAAACCCAAAAGAAATTATATAAAACATGGATACGTCAACTAAAAAGGGGGGATTGTGGGTGTACCTGATGGGTTAATGAGATTAGACGGCTTGAGGGGTTCAGAAGATGCCAGACATACTTTTTCACATTCTCTACTTTTCTTTCCTTAATTCATGTTTTCCACTTGTTTCACTGCCGTATCTACCGCCTCCCGGCCACGCCCACCCACTTAACTGAATTTTAATGAGTTTTCATATTTTCTATTATTTGTAGGTCATCATGCTATTGGCCTAGAGAGTCTTACGATCGCACTTCGCACGCTTTAATTCACCTGACGACCAGAAGCTCTCTTTCAAGTAAGAGTAATTGCCAATTTAGTCGTTAATTGGCCACAAGTGTATTGCGTTAGTGCACTTGCTCATGAAAAATTCGCCTACTTTGCAAGCTATCAGTTTGTGGAGAAACTTTGCTCAGCGCTCAATGCGCTTTTGCAGTATTTAAAGATAATACAAAGAAATTGTGATTAAAATTTGTAAGCCGGAAGCGGTTTTACTCACTCGATAGGCGATTGCCGATTGTTGATCACGCTTGCACTTTTTGGCGGTTCTTTAAACTTTTTTTTTAAAAGTGATCGACTAACTAATGCTCTTTTCGTATTATTCACTCTTTTCAGTTATGCTCTTCACGCGCCGGCGACAACTCAAGAGGTGTGTTAGTTTGCGTAATTGTGTGTTGTGATCCCATATATATTCGTTTTCCCCGAACCCGAATTACCGACCACCCGACGAATCCGCTTCCGTAGTTGTTGCTTCCAAACTCCCCCCAAAATGGTTATGGGCCTCCAAGTATTAGTCACGCTTGAGTAGCATTCATATCTGAAATCATTATACCTCCATTATCATTACAGTAGTGTTCATTGTCCGGTAAGGTGGCTCGATTTTATTGAAAGTGACTTGGGGCAGCGAAAGTGATCTAGATGCCTAAAGATTATTGTAAAGTGAAAATACAACGTACAATATATACATCAATAATTTGGTCAAAATAATAGACATACCTATTTTTGTCCTTATCACCAAACTACTAATTTAGTGCGATTATGTTATCTTTATGTCAATGCCCAGGCTTTGATTGGTAAAAAAATTTTTGGAGATACATAGTGATTCAAAAAAACTAGATATTAGCCAATAGTTTTTTCGGGCTCGTTAACTCTTGCAAAAATTAATAAATGTGAAGTGACTAGGGATCAAAAATTATAAACTAGTTTAAAGCAAGCATATATCATTGAAAAGATTGTTTTTAATGGCATTTTAGTAGGCTAAATAAAGTTTAGGGTTTTTTAATATATTTGTTTGGATAGGTAACAGAATAATGTAAGGACTAACAACCCAATATCCCACATAAATGAACATTTGCATGCATAAAAGAAGAACAACCCTAGTGCTCGCCCTTCGCTTATTCATAATACATGTGTAATCACCCAGTCACCTAACAACTCACCCGAATCGCAACTTTATCAGCGGTTAACCCCTTTGGTGCAAAGGTCGCTCGCTGGAGGAATAATTCTTGGGTCCAGTACGGTGTTGCATGCGTCCAGTTTGGTGAATCCCCTTGCAAAAAAAAACAAATCTATCTGAATTAACAAAGTAATAACCAAGTAATTTGTTTATCTCTCTTTTCGCCCGGGAAAGCTCCACACAAAAAAACGCACAAAATCAGTAACATTCAGTGTTAAGTCGCTTGTCCCGATAGATCGATATATCGCTAACTATATTTTAAGCAGAATACAGAACGGACGTTAAACAATCACAATGTACGAGCTTCATAGTTGCCTAAGGTCCGTTTTCTTTGCCACACTCATTCCCGGAACGATCCTACTTAGTTGGCTAACTGGTCTGTAAGTATCTACGCTCGATTCGATGTTGTGCGCTTGTATAACGACATAACCCGAACCACATACTTCTGATTTTTGATCCAAATATCGTGACATCGACATTTCTTTCGCGGATATCGCCGGCCTATTCCGTTTCCGCTTTTCCGTAATTTCCGCTTTGCTTGCTAACCTAATGTACAAACATACATATGTCCACTGATCCATCACGCTCACACCCTCACCAGCTTGTTTACCTTTCATTTTGTGTTGTCACTCCGTAAATACTAAAATTATTCCCACCCCCTAAGCACACAGTCACCTTTTACCTCTCATTAACTGACATTTTTCGCAGAGTGGGTCTTCGATCTCTGCAAGCATGTCTGGTGATCTTCTTCCTGATCTTTGTGGTCCTGCCGCTGATATTTCGCTACTCCGTGACGTTTCAACGCGGCATACTATTCCTACCATTCAGTAAGTATTCTATAACAAATTTTGGAAAGAAATCAATCTTAAAATAAAGACCCGAAGTCTTTAAAACACGTTCCTAAAATAAAGTGCCCAGCACAAATTCTAATAATAAAATTATTCAGAGTGGCTAAATAACTTTTCTCGCAGCTGTACAAAAGTCTTCAAAGAGGCCTTTTATGTATTCTCATCAATTATCAAAAAGAAAAGCTTTTGTGTTACTAAGAGAGGTCATAAATATTAAATTTCATAGAATATTACCATTTCAATGGTCTATCAATTTATTATAATTCTCAACTTAATCGAATGCTTTTCCTTTGTTTTAGTTAAGTACCCCAAGGGACTTGATCTCACCAAGCCAGAAAGCGTGGGACTGTATGCCACTAGGAATTTTTACATCACCGTCAAAGATCACGATCAGGATGAGGATGGCGTGCGTGTTGGTGTTTGGCATGTCCTGCCCAGCAATGCAGTGCGTCGTTTTAAGCACGAACTCCGCGTGGAGGAGGAGGTGAATCAGGACCTGGATCAGCACCTGGAACCTGCACCTGGCAACGAACAGGAGCTGAAGGCACTGGCGCCAGCTATACGCTCTGAATTTCCCGTCGTACTTCCGGAAAACGAGCAGCTCTTCTACGAGCGATTGCTGCGGATGTCAGGTGGCACTGTGGTCCTCTATCTCCACGGAAACACAGCCAGCCGAGGCAGCGGTCACCGGTCGGAGGTGTATAAGCTACTGAGGAAGCTCAACTACCATGTGTTCTCCTTTGACTATAGAGGCTATGGGGACTCAGACCCCGTGCCTCCAACGGAGGAAGGCGTTGTACGCGATGCCATGATGGTTTTTGAGTACATAGCCAACATCACTTCCAATCCGATCGTGGTGTGGGGACACTCCCTGGGCACAGGAGTAGCCACGCACCTATGTGCTAGACTAGCGAGTTTAAATGAAAGGGCTCCCAGGGGAGTGATTCTCGAAAGCCCTTTCACCAACATACGGGATGAGATACGCATGCATCCGTTCGCCAAGCTCTTCAAGCACCTGCCCTGGTTCGATTTCACTATTTCAACACCCATGTACAACAACATGCTGAGGTTCGAGTCGGATATTCACGTCCTGAAGTTCCGGCAACCCATTCTGATCATTCATGCAGCGGACGATGTTGTGGTGCCGATCCACCTGGGCTACCGTCTGTATAGAATTGCCCTGGACGGAAGAAGTCGGGCTTGGGGACCCGTGGAGTTCCATCGCTTCAGAGCCAGCCTAAAGTATGGACACAAATACCTCTGCCGAGCTCCGGAATTGCCGGAAATGATCCAAACCTTTGTGGAGAGCTACCGGGATGCCGTCTACTAGACGCTATGATCTGGGCACTTAATTTATGTATATGATAATTATTCTAATTTAATTTTTTACCGCCACTATTGACACGTTCCAAAATTTCCGCCCTGTGCAAGCAAATTAAAGAAGTCGAGGAACATGCATAAAGTTTTTTATTTTAATTTTGACTGTGCTCCAATGTCCTACTGGTTATTTAAAGGAATCACTTTGAAGTTACGATATCAAAACGAGGAAAGCTAACTTTTGAAAACCGGAGCTCTTACACCCTTCAAGTTATAACAAGAATTGATTAGTGTATGACAGTCATAGAATAAGTCGTAGGATGTGAATAAAATTCTAAATGAACAGATATTAATTTTTATGTATTTAAATGAGCGATAAACGCAAATGGAAGCGATGTGGTGAGGTATTTACAATTATTTGAAATACTATTTATATGGCCGAGTCAGGAAAAAAGCAAGAGTTACCATAAATTAAAAATGATGTTATGACCGAGCTCTCCATGATCATGGACATGTGTAGACGTTGATTTGTGCACGATAAATCTGCGTTTCGACTGGGATTGGTTAATAATGACCAGCTCGAAAGCGTAGGCGACAGGCTTCAAGTGCTGTGTCCGAAGATGGCCAAAGAGGTGGCAACCAACATACCTTCCAGCATGATAGCCGAGGATCCGGACTACGGGGCAAAGATTTGTTGGCTGTTGGCGTTACTCATTAGGATCCTGAGCCAGGTGAGGTCAGCAATCTTTAAATAATATATAAATGAGGCTAAGATAATTTTGTATCTTAGAACTACCCTTTCCTCCTCCGAATCGGACCTCTGATTAGGATATGGAAAGTCTACCAAAAACCGCCGAAGATTAAGACTGCCTCCAGAAAACGGAACGGTACTGTGGAAATTCCAAACTTAATTGTAAAAATACATTGAAATTATTTATTTATTATAATAATTTGGAGGTGCCTCAGAAATCGCTTAGCGCTGAGCATCAATAAGACTTTACAAAAATTTAACAGTTTAAAAGTGATTCCTGTGGCACTCCTGGATATGTATATAATGCTGGTATGTTCAAGGTTTTTTTCAGACTTTATTTCTATAAATGTAGATGCATAAATTGGATTTGTATAAGGTCATGTTGGTTGATGATCGTTCCGTTGTTAATTAATTCTGAAAAAAAATATATGTTAAACTAATTATGTTTGTATGTCAGTTTGGTTAAATACTTACGCGTAGTTATAAACACCCTCGCGGCTGCTTGGCATCTGTGTGAACGCTAAAGACAGCGGGTCCGGATCAGCGAAGTAGACGGAGTCACTGGCACTACGACTGTATAAATTTTGGTGTTCACCTTCCTTATTTGGCCAACACTTGTTGCCACGAAGTGATGACAAAAATCAGAAAATAGGAAGCCACACTCGCAAGCCATTGTGTAGTTCGCCGATCGACAACCTTCCATGGCGGAAGGGATCCGGGATCCCCAGCGTGAGGGCGTTCTGTCTCGATAGGGCGGCGTGTGGGAGCGTCTCGGACTCCTGAATCTACAATCATGTGCACAGTTTAAATATTTATTAACTTTTCAAGTAAAAGGAAATCAAGTTCAAAAACTAACCGATGAGTGCTGTTCTTTATTGTTACGCGTGGACAGAATATGGCAGGTTGCAGAAAGGATGTTATCAATTTCCATATCAGTTCTTCGAAGCTCCAATTCTAATGCCCTAACGGCCAAAACAATTGAAGAACTTTTTTTATTTAAAAGAATTTTCAAATGATTGTTTTCTTCCTAACTGATTTTTAAGTGAAGTGGGGGATTGGAAGAAGGGCAAGGAGCTAGAACTACATGAATTAGGTTTCCTTAACTATTTCAAATTGCCTATGCTAGGGTTCTGTTTTGTCAAAGGCAAATTTTCCGAAAATTTTTTAAAATGTTTGCGACCTTCTCTCCCTTTTCATCATCTATTTTCGCCCTTCTCAGTTCCTACACTATTATAAAGCTTAAAAATGCAATATTTCTGAATCAAGGCTCCATGTGTTCTTCCTCTTCCATAGTTTGTTTCAGTTCTGAATAAGGACAGTTTCTGTTAGTAACATTCTATTTTTAACATAAAAATGTAATGGGGTTAGTTTCTCTGCTATTTATTAGCAGAGCTCTGAACCAGTAAGAACCACGAATGGTTCCCAAATATAGATATCGATGCATCGACTATAAGCTATAACTTTACCAGAAGTGATAACCAATGTTTAACACAATTTAATTTAATTTAATTTCTGCACAATTATATCTGTTTTGTTGATCGATTTCAAGGGTCGTTACTTATTCAACCCATCGATAAGCCTCTTCTTCATCGATTTACAGAGGCGATATGTATCTAGCCTATCGACAAGCCCCTTCTTCTTCTTCAATTTCTCAGGCGTTATTTATCCAACCTATCGACAATCGTTGGACGAAACGGAACGCAAAGCGGACACGGACTGTTTTTTCCGGGGAAAAACGCCGCCTTTCATTCGATTTGTTTGGTGCTGTCGCGGAAAATGTCACCGCCGAACACCAGCGACTAGCTGTGAGTGATTGTTCAAATAATAATCGTAAATAGAGGAGCTCGAAAACAGGAAAAGAGGGCGCCGAGTTCCTGGGGAAAAAGGAGCTTAAGGAAAAGAACATCCTCGGCTCGTGAAAAGTGTGTGTATGTCGTGTGGGTGTAATATTATTAACAAATATTAAGCAGTTGCCAAAGTAAAAACTCTATTTCGCGTCGAGAGAGAGCCCAGAAAAATTGGTGTCTACTCCTTGAAAAGGAGTTTTTCGCTTCTTTCTCTCTCCCCCGCCCGCCCTCTCTCTCTCGCTCACTCACTCGCTCTTCAACTGTGTTTGTTTCGGTGTGCGTGTGTGTGTGTCCGTGCTGCAATCAAAAAACCAAAAGAAGTCGAGCGTTTTAATTAAAAATCTAAATCACAATTATTTTCTAAACCGCCCAGAGAGGTGAAAATTGCAATTCGCCCTCTCTCGCTCTCTCTGTTGGAAGCTGAAGAAGAAGTAGCAGAGCAGACGCCGCACACCAATACCAACGTATTTTCGCTGTGGAAACGGAATCGACCAAAATGTTGTGGTAAGTTTTTGTTGTGTTTCTTTTTTGCCGTTTTCTGCAAGAATTTATTTTTAATCCAGGAAATGCATTTTATTGGATGTCTCCGTTATAATAGTTTCTCTATTTGTTTTATTTGGGCTGCTGTTTAGTCTTTGAAAACCCCCTTTTTTGTTTGCCAATTTCCTTCTGCTCCCTGTTTCTGCTGCCACTGCTTCTTCTTCCTATACAAACACGCCCTTTTTTGCGCACCTCTCCTTTTTGCCCATGTGTGTGTGTGTGCGAGGGCAGTTTTTAGATAGTTTCGCCAACATTTAAATTCGCTTAGATTTGCGTAAGTTAAGTGGGCCCTTTAAAAACAGCTGTCGCTACTCCGGCTGCTTCTTCTTTTTTGCCTGCACCTAAAACCTGTTTTCATTTTGTGCATGGGCGGCTGTGGAGTAAAGTTTAAGGGGGTAGCTCTTGTTGAAACCATAAGCTTTTCAAATAACTCTGTTAATTCAAATATATTTATTTAATATGCTGTTTCAAAGAAATACTTTTGGTGGTGGACCAACCCCCTTTGGAAGAGACTCTGATTTTATGACTTTTTGTATGTTTGTGGGGGGGCTGGAAGAAGAAAAAGAACAAGAAGAGGGGCAGCTGTTCTTCTTTGACTGTGCTTTAATTACTTCTTTAGCTCCCCTCTCTCAACTGCATTTGTTGTTGTTATTCTTCTTGTTTTGGCTGCAAATGCGCTGCTGCTGCTTCTTGGCTTCTTTCGCCGCAAAACAAACAAAAACCTGCCAAATGGAAGGGGGCAGGGAGAGAGAGGAGAAGAGAGCCTCCAAAAAAGAGAGACAGAGAGAGAGATGCGCAGATTGTGCGGGTGGGGCAGCCTCGATTTTCCTCCTCTTCTTCGTGTTTGTTTGAACTTTAATTTATGCCACAGCTCTCCAGTCGCCGCTTCCTCTTCCCCCGCCCCCTCTGCTGCCCCAAACATTTAAATGTCAATGCACCAGCAACCAAAAGCAGCAACAACTACCAACCAAGACTGCGAAACTCCTTTAGCCCTGAAATGGCAGCCAACTTTGCCATGACTCATTTTTTGGCTTGGCGCTCGCTTGCCAAATGAAGCGGGCCAAAGACCCGGCCCGCAAATCACAAACAAACACAACACAACACACCACTCATAGGGCCCAAAACAAAAACCCGTTCGCAAATAGGCTGAAAATCAGCCTTTCAGGCCAACCAATTCAAAGTAAGCCCCAACCTTTCAAGGTGTTTTTTCGATTCCGTAACTAGTTTTTTTAAAAAAAAAACCCCTAATTGAATGATGTCAAAATCATACCATAAAATCTAAAAGAGTTTAATATTTGTAAAATCAGTTTATAATTTTAATATATTTAGACTATTAAACCCAAGTCATACATTCTTTAATACCTTTTAATCAAACAATTTAGATAAATATTTAATTCATGATAAATGAAGAAATTTCTAAAATAAATGTAATAATGGTTTTCCAACTTGATTTTTCTTTGTTACATACCTTTGGATTATAGAATCGATTATATTCAATCTATCCCAATTAAACAGATACAGATAGTTTTCCACAGCACCATATAATACTGCCCGTAACTCGAGGTGTCATATGATAATACGAGTAGCGGAACTTCCATGCGCCCAGAAATTAGCATTTCGTTCGCTACCTACTATTCCCGTCTTTTTGGCCTACTCTTCGTTCTGCCATTCCCTCCTTCTTTTGGTCTTTCCCTTGGGCCAAACCGATTCCAAAACACATGGCCGCATGCAACGCGGATTTCGTAATTGTTGCATTAGAACGGGAAAGGTGCAGCGAAGAGGAGCGATAGAGAGGGAGAAAGAGGGTGTGACGACACAGTTATTTGAACACCGTTAGCCCAGTTTTCCAGCTGCTACTAGATAAGATAAAAAACTTAAGTAAACCCCGAAAAAACGGAAAACAAAACCAAAACACACATGTCCTAGCTTTACGATTCGCTTTGGTTTATAACAAACATACAGTGTGCTCCCCATTCGAAGTTGTTTCTTTTTGCCTGCCCCATTTCCATT